GGAATGCCGTGAGCATTGAACCACCCCCAGCATTGGCTAAAGGGTTTGATTGATCGAGTTTGGTTCCATAGATGCTATTGCAGCAGCCCAAGTATTTGGTGCAAGTGCTGGTACCAAAGCAACTGCTAAGCCGTTCCCAAACAGTACGACATTAAGATCAGCAGTGCTTTGATGCAACATGAATATATGTTAGTTTTGTCCTTTCACCAACTTTTTACCACATTATAAACATGAAAAATATTTATAATAATGCAGGCATGCATTATTAACATATACATTATATATGTATGGTACTTAATTATTCCTTTTCTAATTAACAAATACTTCAGTATTTATTATGAGTTTGGTAACTATATTTCATATAAAAAAAATGTTTTAGGAGTGATTTTACCTCAGCTCTTAATTCTCAATATGGCATTCTTCAAAATTTTATTTTCAGCGGCAAGATCATCACGTCTTTTTTCCTTAGCAGCAACAAGAGAAGACCATGTAGCGTTAAATTTCACCACTTCAGTAGCCTATTTCAAACCCATAATAATAGATGTCAATAATAAGGTTATGGATAGCACATCCTGGCTGCGAAAGAAGGATAAAAATCCTACCCGTAATCAACCAGCATGAAACAAAGCATGGTAGAAACAGTGTTGCAGCACTGGACATATCCAGAGACCTCCAGCCATCACAGAACACAAAGAACCTTCACAGCACCAAAAACAGCAGCACTGAGAGAAAAAATGAGCTGCAGCAGAAGACCCAACCATATGACACGCAAGTCATTGAAATTACATCAAGTGATAAAATGTCATTAATGAAATATCATCAAGGACATAGCAATAAAGATCCATTACCATATTCAGTCATTAGCATATCCATATCCAATAAACAAGCACTCACAGGATTTGAATCACATTTTTCTTGAATCAAATATCAAAGAGCATCCAAATTAGCACTGCCATCAATAATGATACAAAAATTTGAAGTTTGAGTGACAATAAAGATATAAAGATTTGAAGTATAAGTGACAAAGACGGTGGGCAGTACGACAGCAGCTCTAACACCTCCAACAGCACATAGGGATTGAGAGCAACTACAAAGACCTCTTGAAGCATGAGCATTTGGTTAAGAGGCCACAGTACTAGTATACCAAGCAGTCTTCAATAGCAGAGACACCAAGAATTGCCAGGACCATGAAGTAAAGAGATATCCACAAAACATGAAGCATAAGCACAACAATCAGAAACCAAGTGGGAGAGGAGAGAGGATATAAGTGAATGCTAGCTGTTTGATTGCTTGATTACGCCTTTTTCTTATTGTTCATGTACAGGTAATAAATAAAAAGAAATTAAATATTGGCAGTAAACTGCCGAAATTAGCTAGCAATACATTAAATCTAGAGAGAGAGGGAGAAGGAGAGTAAGATCACCATGTTATTAGCTTAAAACATATGTACAAAAGCATGCAATTGAACTTAAAAAAAAAAAAAAAAAAAGAACAGGTCCAGCAAAATAGAAAGGGCATCACAAACAACATAGTTTTAAGTAACGTTATTAACTACAGAATACATTTGTGAATAATAAAGTTCTAGGCATAATTCATTCAGGAATAACTAAACTTATTGCTACTTCACCAAGTCACATCCGAACAGCTCTAGTTGATCAAATTGTGATTCAGTTGGTGTTTCGCTTGTTTCGCTTTTCCTGATTCTACATGAAATTCACATGTTCGGATAAGCCTACACATAGCAAATAAGCAGTCAATAAAAGCAACAAGATTTGAAAATTCCCATTTTAGTTTGCGAAAAGGCTCGTTTGTTCAACAATAAATAAACTTGCCTGGATGCTAATTTTCTAAGGAATATGACCTATCCTTCCTCATCCTCAGATTGTGACGTGTTACTTGAGGTAGTATCTGCCTCTACTTTCTTTGAATTCAACTTTACCTCCGCCAGTTGTGGAGATGCACCTGTAATTAGAGAAAAAACAAGTGTAATCGGCAATGGAGCACAAAAACAGAAATTATTCTTCTGCAAAACATAGTACAGTAGTAATCCAAATACATCAGTGTTATGAGAAATGCCCCCAACTGACAAGGAACCAGGTTAACGTTATAGATGATTCAAAGATAACTTGAATTCATTTTTTTCCCAAATATTTATATAGCTTCCTCGATGTATGCACAGGGAATGCAAGCAAAGATGCTCATGTTCAAAGCAGTGTAAATCGACAACATCTAAAGTAACCAAGAAACCTATCACATTACCAAAATATCAGATTTAGAAGTGAAACACTCGAAATATCAAAATTTCTTCTTCTGCATCTCCTCTAAAACTTGGCAATCATTTTAACAAGGAAACAAAAGAAATTTTAAAAGCACTCATTTCCCACAAAACACAATTATACAGATCCAAAATAAAGCCACGGTACCATTATATCATATTTGATGGGTAAAACCATCTCCAGTAAACAACAACAAACAATAATTCAATCAATTTAACATAAAAAGACTCAATTTTGCATACACCCATAACCAAACTAACCACAACCAACTGAGCAATCGATAATTTTGAACAAAACCCACATCACAAAACCTTATATGAGAAAAAGAAAAGGAAAAAGAAATTACCTTTAACAAAATAATCAGAGGAGGGCCATCCTCTAACAGTAGAGGTAGAAAGAGACTCCTCATCAGACAAAGGATTAGCCAATTTCTCAACAAGGTGAGCAATCCCAAGAGAGCCAGATGCAGATCTGGGAGGTGGGACCCAATAAGAAGATCCAGGCAAGAAAGGGAGCCAATCAGGCGCAGCACGGCGCACAATGATCCCATGGATTGCATCTTCTAGCTTTCTAAGCAAAGGGTCTGTGGATGATGAAGAAGAAGAATCATCAGATTCTGATTGGTTGTTCCTGTTGGGAATGTTTGATTGGGCTCTAAGAGTAAGTAAACGAGAAGAACATCTCGTTGGTGATGGTGACGGTGTGAGGTAGTATGTTTTTGTAAGAGAAACAGAGAGAGAGCGAGCCATCAAGGTCGTTTTATTTCCTGTGTTTTCGGTAATAGGCAAGAAATTGTCTTGTAAGATTTTGGTTATGGATAAAGTACCGGAGAGAGGGAAGGAGGTAGGATTGAGGGGGTGGACTGGACATATAGGGATGAAGATGGAGAGTTTTTGTCGGTATTTTCTCGGATAGTGACACATTTCAGTTCTGCTAAACTTCATTTTGGGCCTGTAAACTTAATCATAATTTCACTTATGTCCTTATATTTTGAGATTTCTCAATGACCCTTTTATTTAGTTTCCACAAATTTTCAATGTTCCCCTTGATTATCGAATAGCTTGTATTCTCGATTTGGTTTTTGATTTTTTTTCCTTTTATATTTTCAATTTTTTTGTGAACTATTAACATACGTAGGGATTTGATGGGAAAGAATAGAAGTTTCCAATAAATATAAGGATGATTTTGGAATATTGATTAAATTGTGTTCTTCCATGTATATTTGGTGAAATATTAGCATGTGTAGGGATTTTACATGGAAAAGAGGAGCTTTATAAGAAATATAAGGATAATTTCGGGACTTTTCAAAATTAGAGGTAAATATGGAATATTGGTGAAACTATAAGGGTGAAAATGTAGTATGCCTATGTTGAATTTTGGGTTTCGTCAAGCTTTGTGTATTTGTTTTTTTATACACCAATAAGGATTTTGGTTCTTTACTTCTATTAAAAAAACTCAGATTCAGACTTCTTCTTCGTCCAAAATGGACAGAATATTATTGACAATTTTATTTTGACCATCAATTAGGGATCAGATCATGATGTCTTCTGCTTAATTAAAGTATAACTCTAAAACTTCTGCTTAATTAAAGTATAACTCTAAAAGTCATGGTCTTTTTACTGTTCATCCCATTCATGTTCACCGTCTTGCATGTTATTGTGGATTAGAATAATGCATTTGTTTAAAAATTCTCACTTTAATCCTTGAAATTTTCTTTTACATAATTAATTTTTTTAGCACAAATTATAGCTTAATTACATATATTTTTAGGGACGAGAGTTGAATTGAAAAATACAGTATTAAAGTGAAAAAAAATCAAATAAAACAGGTAATAAATATGTAATTGATTTAAAAAGTTCATTTGCATTCTTCATCTTTGCAAGCTATTTATTAACTATATTTTATAATTTTTAAAACATGTATTTTGATAATAAATTCTATTTTCATTTTTTTAGTCTTTTTATTAGAAAAAAAGGTGTGTTGTCAAATTTCAAATTAGAGAAACAAAGTTGGTGTTGGGAAAAAAAGGTGTATTATTTTACTGGAAAAATAATACAGACCAATAACATAGCATGAGTACCAAAACAAAATGTATTGTTTTACTGGAAAAATAATACAGACCAATAACATAACATGAGTAAGAATAACTGCAAGATCTATCATGTTAGTAAATTAATTAATAATTTGATCTATATAAATCATGTACATAAAATAGTTCTTTTTAAAATACACCGTACTTTTAAACTAAAAGGGTAATAAATAATTTACTATTTTTATAATTGTGAAAATATGTATAGGTTCTTCATTAATGAATAATTTGATTTATTTTTGTACCAAGATGCTCCCATGTCGTTTTTTTTATAATTGTAAGTGAAATTTTAGCAAGTTAACCACTAAAAACAGGCACATGATAAAGTTGACAACCAATTCGAATGCATATCTTTGAAACATTCTCCCTGCGAAGGGAGTTATCCTTTTGCTTCGAGAATTAGTCTCCATATAATTGGTCAATTAAACAAAACTTTATATAATAAATAAATAAATAATTGAATAAAAAAACTATTTCCCTTAAACATGAAATTATAGAAAATTACTGTTTTTTCAAAAAATAAAAACAACTCCTGCGTCGTTCTTTACTACAAGAGGAAAACCTATAGGTACACCATGGAACGGTTTTTTTCTTTTTTTGGGAGAACTAAATATGTTGCTAGTGTTTCGCGACGTTTCAAGAAATATTTTTTTTTTTATTTTTAAAAGATGCTAGGCTAAAAAAATTAAAGTCTCATGTTATTAATTTAGATGGTAATTTAAATAATTTTAAAAAATAAAATAAATTAACATGAGTTTATTATCAAATAACCTAATGCTAATCTAATAAAAAAAACCATTTAGAAAGAAAAAGCAAATCTTCAAAAAAAGAGAACATATTAGTTAAAAAAACCTAAGAAAATTGAGGCAAGTCTCATGAATATCATCTACTCTTAAAATCTTCCAACTCATTAAATTATGGATTCAAGTTCAATGAAAAAACTTAATTGTTAACTAATTTAATTTTGAATTATAAAATTTTTGAAAAAAACTAATAAAAAATATGAAAAAACAAAAAAAAAATAACAAGAAGAATAAAGATAAAATTTGAGAGAAAAATATATTATAAGGATGAAATTTGAAGAGAAAAAATATAACAACCCCAAAACAAAATAAGTAGTAATTAAAAGAACGAGTATCAAAATTTAAAGACTAGAAAATCAAAGGGGATAAAATTGAAAAATATTTATAATTTGATAAATTATTTATAAATTAAAAAAAATAGCATGGGTTGAGATTGAAAAAAAATCATAGAGAGATAACTTAATATAGTCAAACAAAAAAAACTAAGAAAACAAGACCTATAAAAAAAAACAATTAGCAGAAACAAAAAAAAAAAAACAAACTCGAGCGAATATCTTGGATCTTATTTGATTTCTAAAATCTACAACTTGTAAAATTTTGGACATGGGTTCAATGAATAAATTTAAATCTGAAAAAAACTGAATGATAAAATCATGCAGAAAATATCAATAAAAAAATCTGCAAAGGTAAAAAAAAAAGTAACAAAAGGAATTTGGATAAAATTTGACAGAAAAAAACTTAAAGATGATGAATTTTTAAAAAATATATTAAAAATAATTTTAAACAAAATAAATTACAATTAAAAGAATAAGAACCAGATTTTAAAGATTAAAAAATCAAAATGAGTGAAATTGAAAAATATTTTTAATTTGATAAATTATTTGTAGATTTAAAAATAATAGGGGGTGAAATAAAAAGAAATTGTTGAGGGCTAACCCAAGAAAATCACAATACAGAATAATAACAAAACAAAAGAAGATAAAAAAAAGAAGAAGAAAATATAGGTTTAGAAAAAAGAAAAAAACTAAGCAAACCCAGCAAACCTCTTAAACTTTATCTAATTTTTAAAAAATACAACCCATGAAATATTTGACCTAGATTCAATGAAAAACAAGCTTAGTTATCAACTATTTCAATAAAAAAAATAATAAGGATATAATTCAATAGAAAAACCAAATGAGGGTGTAATTTTAAAAAATAGATAAAAAATGATGCTAAACAACAATGAAAACCAGATTTCAAGATTAAAAAATCACAAGGAATAAAATTAAAAAATATCTGTAAAACCAAGGAAATTCAAGTAAATATCTTAAACCTTATCATATTTTTAAAAATAATAATCCGCAAAACAATAAATCCAAGTCTAATTAAAATTTTTATTATGATTCAATTTAAAAATTTATCAATGTAAAAAAATAAGCAATCAAGAGAATAGTAATTAAATTTGATAGAAAAAAATAAATGATGGTGAAATCATAAAGTAAATTTTTTTCATGGCAATCAAAAGAAGATGGATCAAACTTAATAGAAAAAAAAAAGAAGCAAAAGAGGGTGGAATTATAAAATAAAATCCATTGAAAAACTGATCATAAAAAAATAATAATAAAAAGAATGAGGATTAAATTTAATAAATTATTTAATATAAAAAAATAATGATAAAAAAAGAGAGATCAAATTTGAAAAACCAACAAATTAAATGAATGTTTTTTAATTTTTAAAGGGTTAATGTGAAAATTTAGACGAGAAAGATGAAAAAAAAAAAGGAATAAATGATGTTAAACTAATATTAATCCTAGTACATGCACAACCTTATCTAATCATGAGCGCAAATAACTTTCAAACATTATTCTAGAAAGTGATATTTTATAGATAAATAACCCTCCACATATCAACCAAACCATTTATATACCATGCATGCTAATAATTATTTTAATTATATTTAATAAATATAATTTCTAATAGTACCTTTAGATATTATTGAAAATTATAATAAAAATAATGTAAAATAACCATCAAACTCTTAAATGAGAGTTGAATTAGTTTTTGTCTTTATGGGTATTATCTAACTCTTAAATGAGAGTTAAATTAGTTTTTGTCTTTATGGATATTATCTAACTATATTATTATAAAAAATTTAAAAATATTCACAGGTAATTAATATTAGGTTATTTTATTTTAAGATTAATATAGTAATTTATCATAAAAAAGAAAAATATCAATCTAAGTAATTTAAAAAAATAATTGTATCATCGTACCCTCAAAATTTACTGCATAGTAATCTATATCTTCATGCACAATAATGTTTTTAGGAGATTTAATATATATTTTTGTTACGCATATGATATTAAAATCCTTTAATACTCCTCCTCGGTTTGACAGACTCTATTATTTATCTAAAGAATAAGCTTATATTCTATTGTTTTGTTGACTTTCAATCACAGGGACTTCGGGAGCCATCTTCCACGTTCCAGACACAGAAAAACAATCAAGGTAGAAAAAATTAAGCCATTCTTTTTAACCGAAAAAACAAAAGAAAAGGAAAAATTGAATTTCCTGGATAAGGCTATTTTTTTTTATATAATATCTACATGCTAGATCTATTTTTCATATTTATCCTCACTCGTTAATCAAAAAAATTATTTTTTTAAGCCCACTAATAAAAACTCTGAAATTGAAATAATTGTAAATAAAATAAAAATAAATTAATTTTAATTTTAATTTTAAAAATCCTGGCCTCCCATTAGCCATACCCCTATGATCTCCCCCAGACCGGTTTGCCTTGGTGTTTGACATTGCAGGCTTTATGTATTTTGATTATGAAAAATTATCCAAAACACTAATTCTCCTGACTGGAAAGAAATGAAATTCATCAATCAAAATTGGATCACAAACTAGAATCCATTGCACTAAAAATGAAACTTGGATGCATCGTATGTAGATGCAATGAAAGAGGATTTGTATATATACAGGCAGGAAAAGTAGCTGTGATGAGCTCAGGTAGATTGATCAAAGCTCATCATGAGTCCGTGTCCCTGTCTTGTGATCAGACGCGGTTCTCTTGACCTTCTCCTTTATCTTTTGTACAGTTTCACTTGCTACTCTTGCGGCTGTTCTTGCTGAATTCTCCACTGTTGCTTTGCCCTTCTCCACACTCTTTGCAGCACCTTCTTTCATTTTCTCTGCAGTTCCAGTAACACCTCCATGACCCACAGCCTCGTCACTGCGTCTAAAACTATAATCCCAGCCAAAAAAAATGAACAAATCATATATAATATTAAACCATTTGGAAATTATATATTGTCATAAGAAAATGGATTGATGTAAGAACTTGAGAGATTAAAAAACTTTCTCAAGATTTGGAGGAAAGATAGAGGCTTGAGCTTGATTGAACATGGTTTTGACGTTTTCCCAAAAACTCGTACGAGTTCTAGCACTAGTAGTTGCTGGAGAATTTGCTGAGAATGTAAACAAGCTGCCAAATATCTTAGAAAAAATATCTGGTCTCTGTGCATTCTCTACCGGGCCATGCTGAGCATAAGCAATGTCAGACATGACGAGAATTTTCTACCGGGCCCTGGTGAACATAAGCAATGTCAGACATAACGAAGAGCAAAAAAAGAATCGAGATGGTACATCTCCTAAGCCTATCCATAGAATCAAAGTTTGAATCAGCAGGGCCTGGTACTACAAATTAAGATGCATGAAGGAGGTGGACAAATATTGTTGAATGGGGCCAGAGCTTTACTGCTGTTTTAGGTATCTAAAGCTCTGACACGTTTGTGGCTTGAGCTAGAAGAGCTTATGAGGTGGCTTCCTCTGAGTACATGCAGGTGGCTATGCGGCAGGGTGGCCTGCTGCTGCTGCACTGCTTCCTGGTGATAAGTGACTGGACTACAGAGGCAGAACAAAAAGGCTTTAGGCTCTGAGACCGGCTTGATCCAAAAAGTGGGATTTTCTTTTAGACAGCCCATCAAAACGACTAGCTGGCATGGGCTATAATTAGCGGGCTTGAAGTTCTTGATCAATCTACCAGATGAAACGGGAACATCTTGCTTTTCCTCCAAAAGAAATTCCTTGTTCTCTTCACGAATCTATCCACGCACACACACTAAATAAAAATCTCCCATGTGTGTTATGCTCGATGCATAAGATAGGGATCAGATTGACGAGTGCAAAAAAAGGAAAGAAGAAATGTATGCATGTCTAGGTAGTTTCCTTTTCACCATGGTTATGCATGTAGTGTTAGTTTTGTCATGTTGTTGTAGTAGGTCCACCATTCAACGTAGAATAGTTTTTTCAACACAAAAATCATGCCATTTCCTTTCTACATTACACAAAAAGAAAAAAAAATGAAAACAAAGCAATGCTAATTTTAAAACAAAACAAGTTGTTAACTTTAATAAGTTTTTGAATGCATGAGAGCTTTCAAAAAAATCTAAAACAATATGCAATTAGATTAACATTATTGATAATAAAATTTTATTATCACAACTAAAAGTCACATAAAATTAATAAAAAGTTGCTCTAAGATATCAGATGGGCCGAAGAAGTAAAATAAAAGGAGAAGAATAGACAAGGAAAGATTAATTGTACCATAGACACTACAGAGGGAGAGAGAGAAACTTGAGAAAGAAAAGAGATAACACAATAGTAGTAAACGAAATAAGGTGAGAGGTTTGTTTTCAACTACTAATAATATTATTAATCAACAATAAAAGATTTATTTCTTACTCTATTTCTCTCTCTTAATTTGGTGGGGTCTTTTTTCCTCTTTTCTTGCAGGTAGAGACAACCCACCAGCTGTTGCTGCTCTTTGAAAAGAGAGAAAGAGAGAAGTTTCTGGGGTATGTAATAGATGCTTTCATTTTTTGTGTGTGTATGTTTAGTATCTATGTGCTGCTTTTACATTTAATATAGATTGAGACCTATATTTTCCACTAATTGCCCAACATCTTTTTTCTCCCTTCTTCATACTTGAATCCAGTAATGCTTTAATGACCGTCTTATCCTTTGTAATAACTGTGCCTTAAAGATGACTAGTATATGGAACTAATCATATTTGCACTGTTTTTCTTTTCTTCTTATGTATAATTACTTGTCATTAATCAGAATGTTTACTGTCTTATTATTACTGAAGGTGGTTACTTGTGGTAATGTCCTTTTAGAGTCTTCATTGCAAAGAGTTCCCAGATGTGTTTATACATCTACAAGATTGTATGAGTACCGTGCACGGGGTTCAAAACCTGCCAACCCTAATCATCGCCACTTTACATAGGGGTTGAGATCATTTGAGGTGAGAAGATGGCTGTGTATTTTGAATTGCTCGTGATGCTATTTTTTTGCAAACTTTTTTGTATATATCTTTTGAACATTTGGTGTTGAACAATAGTTCCCCCGAACAAATTCACAAAAACACTACCTTCCTGCAAGTTTGCTAGCTGTACTTTTCCAAATATCTGGATACATGCTTTTCTGAAACTGTTATTCTTTTCTCACCAACCAACCCCCTCTCTGGTGCAAAAACCAGCAGGAAATAATTATTTAAAACATTGACAGCTCTCAAAAATCGAAAAACTCTTAATTAGTGTTAAGGTTTGCCCTTAACAAACTAATGATTAAGAAGAATTTGAAGAGAGAATAGAAAGAATAGAGAGAAAAGAAGAATAACAGATTAAGAAAGAACATAGAGGAAGAGAAAATAGAGAGGGAAAGAGAATAACAGA